GCGGGTTGCCTACCGCAAGGTCGCAGGCGCCAGGCCCGTTAAGCACCCGTGGCGAGCGGGTTGCCTATCACCAGATCGCAGGCGCCAGCCCGCCGACCAAAGAGTATTCTCTTATCGGGTTTTCGTTTTCTGTTTACCTCGAACACGACGACGAAGGCCAGCCTGGCGGCGAACACGTGCCAATACTGGGGCGACAGTCCGTACGGGTCCGAGGGGTGGTCGGGCCCGTTGCGGTAGCCGCGGTACTGGCACACGTCGGGGTCCGGGTCGTCCACGTCCGAGCCCATGTCCGCCGTGTAGTGCGACGTGTTGAACACTGGCAGAAACGAGCAGATTTGGTTGAATGCGCTGTTTTCGTGTTTTCGTTTTTACTCCACAATGTCGGGGGTGCTCACCGGACAGCGAGGCGTCGATGTAGCCCGTGAGGTCGTCCGTGGGCGAGTACTTGTACTTGTACACCATGCGGGGGATGAAGTCGCTCGTGTAGGCGATGACGAAGGCGTTGGACACGACCGAGATGTACGTGATGGTCTGCAGGATGCCGAACCAGGCGCCGATGTCCTCGACGCGCTCGGCCAGCGGCCGGCGCGCCTGCGTCACCATCTTGTACGCGTCCAGGCGGATCTCGGCGATGTTGTTGAGCAGCGCGAAGACGGGCGCGAGCGGGAAGGCGGCCACGAACAGCGTCACGAAGCCGTACTGGAGCACTGAGGGGCGGAATTGAAATGGGTTGGATGGTACTTTTCACGTTTTATTCAGAGATACCCATGATATTTGTACCCCGTCGGGTACAAATACCATGGGCTCACTATTGACCCCCATGACCGCACTGATCTTTTTGATGACCTCTTTATATTTTGATCCCCCCTCAGGTGGTTTACGCGCGGCAGCTCACCTATCTCCAGAGGTGCTCGTGTGGTACAAATACTATGGGGTCTCTATTATTGACCCCCACAACCGCACTGATCTATTTGGAGACCTCGTGATATTTTGATCCCTCCTCAGTCAGGTGGTTTGGCAGCTCACCCATCTCCAGGTACTCGTAGAACAGCGCCAGCCTGCCGGGGTCCTGCAGCTGGTAGTCCTCCTCCCAGCGCGTGAGCCCGCGGTTCAGGTCCTTCTTGGTGTGGCTCTTGTGGTACAGGTTGTAGTACAAGTTCCAGAACTTGCTGCATGCATGCGGGGTGGCATTTGAAAAAAGGTGAACAGTCATTATTAGTAGGAGAAGCAGCGCACGCGAGTTGCCGATTTGCCGAGGTATTCTTTTACTCACGGATACAAGACTTCGACGAAGTTGTTGAGGCACTGCTTCCCCACCATGATGATGGCGAGCTGGATGCACAGCTCCCACAGGCAGCCCGCCGGGTCGCAGACGTCGCCCTTCAGCTTGAGGAACTCGTTGCTCCGCGTCGTCTCGTCGCCCGGGTGCATGAAGAATCGGCCCTGCGCGCAGGAGGTGACGTAAAACAAAAGCCATGGTGATGGCGTGCGTGGCCATGTGACAAGAGACCCCGCTCACCTTAAAGAAGGCGATGTAAATGAGAGAAGAGTAGAAGTTCATAAATTCAAACACAAATATTTTAAACGTGAAATTGTCCTCGTATTCAGTTTGGGTGCGCGGGTTTTCGAGGTTGGTCAGCCACAACGCCAGCTGGTGGTAGAACTGCAACACACGGAAAGAAGGTTTCAGGGCTCGCGTGGCTGGTGGTGTCTGGCGACGCCGTCGGTGTCATCGCGGGAGGCCCTTACTCTGGTGAGGATCAGGATGATGATCAAGTTGATGCAGGCGGCCGTGATGGACGTGAAGATCTTGGCGTGCTTCTTGAGAAAGTTACCCCCTCCGCTGTGGAAGACGGTTACCAGGGAAATGCGGTAGATGATGGTGCCTAGCACAGCGCAGCAGACCACCACCACCTGCAACAGCCAACGTGCGTTCATCGTGACGGAAAACGTCTCGTAGAAAGGTTCTCGTCAAAATAACTTTTAAGGTCAGTCTGTCGTCAGACTGCCATGACTTTACTTTACCATGAACATGACTGCCGAGCCGGTGGCCGTGAACCTGAGGCAGCGGTTCCAGGACGTGAGGTAGGGTTCGCGCTGCCGCGTCACCGGGTTCATCCTGTACGTGTTGACGTTGGCCTCGAACTCGGGCCGGGGCTCCTCGTCCTGCTCCACGTACTGCAGGTCCCACTCCCAGCGGATCACGGCCGCGCGCCGCTTCCACATCTCCAGGAACATGGTGGCTGCAGAGAGCACGCCGTCAGAGCACGCCGTCAGAGTGCAGCGGCATAGAGTACACCACCAGAGTATACACGAGCAGAGTAACGAAGCTTACCCCAAAAGGACATGAAGATGGCGAAGAAGACAGTGGACGGGTTGTCGAACAGGTACGTCATCTTGGAGAACAGGCACGACTCTTTGAGCTGCTGGTAGCGGCAGGCCTTGTCGCACAGCGGGCACAACGTGATGTTCCCGGGGCCCAGCGGGTCGCAGATCTCTTTACTGAGGGCGCAATATTTGAGGAGTTTGCATCGATTTCTGAAGTTCTGACGGACGCCAGTAGCGCTTTTTGTAGTTGCGCGCCTACCTGGGGATGTTGTCGGCCGAGTCCATGGTCAGGAGGCCGTAGAAGAAGCAGAACAGGCCGACCGCGGACGGCAGGATGAGGGCCTTGGTGTAGAAGCCCAGCCACGCGAAGTACATGGCGATCTTGTCGCCGAAGTACTTGCGCACCAGCCACAGGGGCTGCTTCTTGAGGCAGCGCGCCGCGCGGCCCCACTCCAGGTACAGCAGCTGCGGCACCAGAGATCGTCTTATCAGTGACACATGACGTGGAGAGGACACCTTTACGACATCAGTTATTTTCCTGTTGCAGACGTCCCGATATCGTTTCGACATCACGTTTTGCACTGGGCGAAGTTAGGGGTTTCAATGTCTGAAATTCTTTTGGTAAATTGGACTCTTTTCCAGAAAAAATCGGAAAAATTGAAATATTTTCAGAAACATTGATCCAAAAGTAAACTTTTAATGAAAAAATTAAGGATTGAAACAAAAAAAATAAATCTTGGAGGGGTAAGAGTATTATTTCCACTAAGTCTCTCCTAGAGGAGAACCTCACCCGTCTGTCGAATGTGAACCCGTTGGGTCCGTCCGCGTCGTAACGGCCTTCGTGGAGCGGGAAGGCTGAAAGGTACGTGCTATTGCTTAACAGGTACCGAATCCCAAGCTTTAAAAGAAAAGGGAGAAAGGGGTGTCTTAATACTGTCACCGTTCTCGGATGTCAAGAAGACGTGTTCTTCTCAAACGAGACGCTTACTCTTTCGCCGTCGGGGGCTTTGGCACGAATCATCAGTTCCCAGACGATAGTGCTTCGTTGGGCCGATGTGTAATATGTTTCTCTGTCTTTGACGACAAACCTGTAAATTTCTCAAATTAACTTACAAACGCAACTGCAGCAACCACCATTTCCGGGGTGGAAAAACACCTTCGTAAACCGGTGTCGTATCTGTGTTTTGTACTTGGAAGAAAAACTAACTACGAATCTAATCATGTGAAACGCACTGCTCTTCTCTGTCGGAGCTGTGAGTGGACTTGTAGAAGGACGGCTCTTGCGCGATCTTCCGGTGGTCCAGCTCGAACAGCTCGTTGATGACGGTCATGGGCGTGAGCTTGTCCACCGTAGGCAGCTCCTCGCCCTCCCAGGCCTTCACGGAGATCGACAGGAACCTCTGCGGAGGCGGGAGAAAATTGCATGTGATGATTGTGTTCCAAAAATATCCATATTATTTCTTCTCCAAAACATCCTCAAAGTTCTTGAGATATTTTTCTTAAACAT